GACTTTTTTTTTGTGTGTGAAATCTACGTCTTTTAGTCTCAAAACTACGTGTTGTGGTCTTTTATGTATTGCGTTATGACGTTTTGTGAAAAATCTGTACGTGATGGAAAAAAATGGATATAATTTTCGGATTCAGCGTACAGGAGTTACTGTAGAACATGTAAAAAAATCAAGACAATAAAACCGTAAAGGATTTTGTTAGTTATACAATATGCCAGCTCGTTTCATACCATATCAGAAATGAGCATATCACACTTATATGCTACCACTATAACTTTCATAAGTGGAATCGCGTGATACACTCCCCCCCCCCCCCCACTCGACACACATGCACAAGTATTTCATAATCATTAAAAGTACTAGCTTCGTTAAAAATGATTACGATGGAAATGAACAACATTAACAATTATATATCCTTCCACACATACGTCTTCCTACAAATATATATATATATTATGTATATGTAGTAAAATGCGAAGGTGATAAAATAAAGAAATAAGACTTTTGGATATAAATCACCTTTGAAGACTATAAATAAATTACAAACATGGTTTGTAAAGGGGATTTATCTCCAAAAGTATTATATATGTATATATATATATATATATGTGTGTGTAACTTACTGTGAGTGAAACGAACGTGACAAGGTAAGCCTATTTTATATCCACTTTCTTAAAGGTTTAATACTAAAAGAAGAAAATTAGTGAATCATTGATGTGAAATTGCACATACCCAAGACGAACCCATCTTTGCTCCACTGTACAGCCCCAGCTTGTCTCTCCACCTCACAATGAAGTATAGCTTCCTGTCCTTCGATCACCTCTGTATTACGGGGCTCCACTCGAAAATACTGTTGTTGCCCTTGGCCTGCGATAAACAAATCATGCACGTTAACAAGAAAGGAGACAGTGTACAAATAAACACGAAGACAGCTAAATCTATAGATGCTCTTAACGATGGGAATACTTTTTACGACGTTATAACACTATATCTAATATTGTTAACAGTGACGATATCTAAACATAAAAACAATGTATTATAATCTTTATAAGTAGAAACGTTAGAAGGATGTATTTGATTAGCTATACTGATTGCTAGTACATAGCTTGCTCTGATTATAAGTTAATATTAATAAATAATAATAAAAAAACACAATAAAGTATAGGAAACACAATCATGACGTTACTAAAACCATAAACAATTTTTTTTTTAGAGAAGTAATTTTGGATTCAAAAATGCTAATGCTTCCACAACAATGGTCAAACATGCCATTCATTGGATTAATATAGCAAGCAGTTTGTTACTGAGCGAATCAAATAATTCGTGAGAATTGATTTAAAAGCAACTGTGAAGACAACGTCTAAGTTTGTCTTCTCTTGGTGATAGAACTGATTTTATCATTGCCAATTAACGGTTGACTTCTTTATATATTTAGGTAAAAATAATTTCAATTATATCTGTATCGCCGATACAAATCAATATAAATCAAGGTCTAACATTTCACAGCAAGACCTACGTATAATACGTCAAAAATACACTTAACAACAGACTGCGTATTTGACTTTTTCATACTTTTACCACATAACGAAACAACAATGAATACAAAAGTGTTTGCTGTTTATACAATAATTGCATTGATGGTGATCACACGACTTACAAAAAAAATAACAGTTTAATTGTTAACGATTTAACAATGAATTTACTTCTCACACTTTAAGATCGTCATAGAAACCAGTGTGGTACCTGATGATGACAAAACCTTGTCGAAACGCTGTACATTTGCTGTTATATTAAAGTTTTTCTTCATTACCCATTCAAGCCGTCTCCAGCCATTATTAGTGTAGTGCTTTGTTTTATTGTTTTTTTTTAGAATAATAAACAGACTTTTTCAAATATCATGCTACAAATATTTTATTTTTGTTTCTCCTATTTTTTTAGTGAATAATGGAGGGACTTAGTCATTTTGGCAATAAAATTAAAGAACAAATCAACTCTGCTGTCTAGATCATAGTAATAAAAAACTATTTATTTCAGCCAACGCTTCACTCTTGCGGCTTCATCACGGCTAGTGGTAAGAGGAAACCAAAAACCTTATCAATTCTTGTACTACTAGCCCTGATGAAGCCGCAAGGGCGAAATGTTGCCTGAAATAAATCGTTTTTTTTTAAATTATTATTATTTAAAGATTAAGGGTCGTTTTTGTTTTCTTTTCCTCTAACTTTATTCTCAAAATATTTTGCTACAACTTCAAATGAAACTGCCGAAGTTTTTAACGAATCAAATCAACTAATACGTCACCATGACAGGAGAAAGAGTGCGTATGTTTCTCTTATAGAGAGAGTTTAGACAAGAATTGTAAAATGAGAAAAAACTATTGTAAAACGTTCCTTGGAAACAAGAGATCGGTTGGTACGGTTCTTGGTGAAACGGATGGTTGCCGCCCCCCCACGGGTATCAGATTTAATCTTCGTCCTCCTTCAGGGAATGGCACGGCATGCGGCTGTCATTAAACTTTCTTGAAGGAAGACATCTGAGAAACAGACGGGGAAATCATACTTTAACGTGGAGTAGGTGAAACCTTTTCCCACGCCCGAACCCTCTGACCTCAGAAAAGTGCGAGTTGTGAAGATTCGACAGTGATGAGAGAAAAATGACAATCACCTGGACGTCTTGAAATTTGAATTTTCTAACCACAGATGTTAATAATTCTTTGCTTTCAGATTGTTACTACATTTGTGAATTGTTTGTAATTAAGCACAAAGCGACACAATGGGCTATCCGTGCTCTGTCTACCACGGGCATCGAAACCCGGATTCTAGCGTTGTAAGTCCGCAGACATTCCGCTGTGCCACTGGGGGGGGGGGCATTTGTAAATTACTGGAGTCAATTCTTTTTGATGAGTTGGCCAATCTCCAATTTAAGTATTGCTTGAGACAGCAAGTATATGGATTTTAAAGTATGCATAAGAATACTAGAAAGCAGTAAAATTAAGCATTAATCATTTTAATCACAAACTGTTTATTATACCTTTAGTATTCTTCTAATTACTGTGGTACGCCAAGAAATTAAGAGATTAGTATTTCATATGTATCTAAGATTAGCCTACATTCTAGGATTTTCAGGGCGTTACACAAACCCGTTTTCCTTAAAAGCAGATTTAAGAAGGAAAACAAAACGCACGGGCCTAAATATACATAATGCATGATACTTTGGTTGTTGTAACATGGGAAACATGTTAAAAGGATACAACCCATCAAGTCAAATATTAAAGGATGCCATATAAAAGTTCGTTTGCTATATAAAACTCCAGAAAGTTTTCTGACTAATTCAGCTGTACACAATCTGGAACGAAACTGAAGTCATGTAAGAAAATATAGATTTGGAACACAAAACATATATATATATATGTTTATCGAAATAGTTTAAAAATTCTTAAATATATATAAATCTTATGAGTAATGGCCATTTTAAAATCATAAGATTGAAAGCTTCTATACTATTTCGAAATCAATTGTTTGTTTAACGTCAGAAGAGTTTGTCGAAATACGCATGTCAAAGGCTGTAATTATTGAAAACTGACACTTATTGTACAGTTATAAGTTTCAATCAATCTATATGTATACTAGGAAGTACGTTGTTTTTAACTTTAACATTTTGTTGTTTTACACCAGAAGAAACAAAATTTTAATTATTTTAAAATAATGTAACTTAATTGTTTGTTTGTTTGATGTCAAGTACAAAGCTACACAATGGGCTATCTGTGCTCTACCCAGCACTGGTATCAAGACCCGATTTCTAGCTGTGCCACTTGTGGGTTGTAATTTAATGCCTCTGGAAAATCAGTTTTAATGTGTAATTTTTAAGTTAAGCACAAAGCGACACAATGGGCTATCTGTGCTTTACTCAGCACTGGTATCGAAACCCGGTTTCTAGCATTGTAACTCCGCAGACATACAGACAGCTGTGCCATTGGGGGGTTGGCGCTAGTCTTTATCACGAATAGTAGGATTAACCATTACATTCTAAATGAATAAATATCACGCTAGAACGAGAAGAAAACCTTCCAACAGAATTTTTCAACTAAAACAATGATAGACATATCACCTTTGACTTCTGGATACAGTCAAGGAAGTCACACTAATTTATTTAAATCTATTAATAATTCACCCATTTACATCAGTGAAATGTTTCAGAACTAATATCCAGTCGAATGTTCATAAGTAATTCGTGAGAAATGCTGGAAACAAGAAGGTTTGTTTTGTTGTTCGGTAAACACATGGATTTTTTTACACGGGGCAGAATTTCCTAGGGTTAAAATTTATGTTCAATCTGCCGCTTTCATTAAGAATAAAAATTGAAACTCAGTTGTTATATGTAGTTTATTGTTTATATATATATATAATAGGGAGGTTTTATTTCTGTGGGGAAAAAACAAAAACGGATCTCACGGCCATTCTTTTTTAGGAAGCTATATACTTTCGTGTACAAGGTAAATATCTAAATACATCTCGTTATTTTTTTTTTAGTTTATTGTAATTATGAACGAAACATGCGAAGCATTTTAATTAATTTTGAAACGCGTATTAATTTTCAAAGAATAGCGGCGTTCCACATAATATCTAAATTATAACAAAGAATGTTTAAAGCCTGACAAACATCATTAGGGGCATTAATTCGTTATTTTCCACATATACACTTATCATATTTTCCTCAGGCTACTAGAATACTGGAATATGCCACATTGTTTGGATGTGCTTCAATAAACATCATTATCAGCCATGCCCAGATCATTGTCGTTTAACTCAGCCTATTCTATAAAACGTATTGGAAACGAGTTTAATGCTATAATGCAGTGTCATTAAGTGTGGTCAGCTTTGTACCTGCTCTTCGCCTCACTATGGAATTTAATTTTTTTTTGTTCACTGTATTGTATATATCTAAGCACACACACGATTCTATAAAACAAGTCAATATCTAATTATATAACCAAAATACCATCAATAAGCAAGGAGAGAACTTTATGCGTGCTCGATCCTGCACTAGTTTCCATTAGTAACAGCTGAATATTGGCTGCTAAACTGATACCCATTTCCATATCCTCCTTGATTGCTGACGTAGTATAAACACGAGATTTAGGGTTTCCATGGTGATCGATCTGTAGCAGGTCATCAGCCTATCACAGATTATTTTGAACTAATAAAGAAAATAATCAAAGCCGATTGTTCTTTAAAATAGATCCTCTTTTTTTTTTTTTAATTTCGCGCAAAGCTACACGAGGGCTATCTGCGCTAGCCGTCCCTAAATTAAGGACTAAATTAGTAGTGTAATTAGTCTACTAATTTAGCATTGTAAGACTAGAGGGAAGGCAGCTAGTCATCACCACCCACCGCCAACTCTTGGGCTACTCTTTTACTAACGAATAGTGGGATTGACCGCCACTTATAACGCCCCCACTGCTGAAAGGATGAGCATGTTTTGGTGTGACGGGGATTCGAACCCGCGACTCTCAGATTGCGAGTCGAGCGCCGGGCCATAGATCCTCGAAATACTCTTACAATCCGGTATTTATCTTTAACTACACAATAGGGGTGGGTGGGTGTTCAATGACTGGAATGAAACTTAATTAATACTGTTTCATATTTTGCTAATTCTTCCTTCCTTTTTTTTTTTGCTTGTATTAAGAACTCTAATAGTCATAACTAAAATTTTTGAATTATGTCATCTGTGACACCATATTTGAGTTACACCACCAGTATTTATATTTTATTCCTTTCTACGAGACATGTGTAATAACAATATTAATAAGTTCCTTGATAAAATAAAAAATTCGTTGATATTCAAGGCTGGATGAACCAGATTTGTAGATT